TCGCGCTCTGAAGCAGGACCGTCTACTCTAACTGGAAGTGCACGGGCAACATAGCACACAGAAACGCAGGCCCACACTCACACACACACACACGTGATGCCACTCAGGAGCTTCATCGCCTGTTCGAGTTCACTGGATCGCAACCGCCATTGGTCCTCGACACGGAGAAGTACAACTCTGGTTTCGTGGCCTTGCTCCGTAAAAGTCTGGTGAGCGGCTACTGGTTGGCACTTTAATGCTTATTTCGGTTCGTGTTTCTGTGGAGTAGATTTGCGTGGTGCACTTTCAATTGTCACGAGAGGCAGCTCTTCCATCATGGGTGGTGATGAGCTCCTCTTTTATCGCCCAGGCGTGAAGTATTGCCAGATTTATGCGTGAACGCAGTGAACCAGTTCTGGGCAGGACTCACGGCCCGCGAGTTCAAGGAAGCCGTGGCCAAGCAGTTGGGAGTCATTCGAAACTTGAGCAAGGTTTTCCTCCAGGCGGTGAGTACGGAACATCAAGCCGGGATCGGTGAATCATTCGCGGCCCTGGATGTGGAGAAGGGCCTCGAAGCAAGGTGTCTCGGACCTGCAATTTGTGGTGCCTTGTTATGCGGAAGTTTCCTGCAAGCAAAGGCCTGCTTTGGTGGATCCGCTTGCGAAGCTCCTTGGCTCTACTGCAGCGGCCTCAATCGGATCCAGCTGTAGTGGCCTCACTTGGTTTGAACGTTCGTGTTTCAGGGCTCGGTGCTCGCCAAAGAGATTAATGTGGTTCGTCCGACGTGCCAGCAGCTCATACAGCCCAAGCCTGAGTGAACATTTGTTGCATTTCCAACAGGAACAACAAAGTTTAGAGGGTTTGGTTTAGGGTTTGGCGTATTCAAATTTTAGTCTTTAGGTTGGATTTAGGGTTCAGGGTTTTAGTAGTTTGCCGCTGTATTCTTCATTATCATGATCATCATCATGTCCACGTGCAACCTTCCAATGGAAAACGGCAGAGCCTACGCTGAGGTCGGGGCTGACATGCCCGCTTCAATACTGGGGCGAAGCTCTGAAGTACTGGGGCCAGCGAGTGCCAATTCTTCGAGAGGCTGCTCCGACCTGAGTATTGAAGGTTGACATGTACGAAGAGTGCCCTAGATTCCTGAGCCTTGGGCCCTTCTGATTTATCAGGTCGCTGTCATGCTTTGCCTCTTTGAATCCACCGGCATTCTCGAGCAGAATCTGAGCAGTTTTCGTGCCCTCCACCGTGATCAGAAACAGAATACCAGTCGCGCAACGCTGCGTTCGCTGCTGAAGGTCATGGTGGACACGGATCTTGTGGCCACATACAACACCTCAAGCAAGATCTACACACTCACTGAATTTGGGTTGCGAGCGTACAATCGGTACAGGAGTTTGTATGGTGCCGCGAAGAATGCTCCAGCATCCACTTTGCCGAGAAGGACTATGCACCGCAAATGTGCAAAGACTGGTATGGCTGCTTTCAAGCGGTTGCAGGCAGAGCAAAAAGCAGGAGCTGTCCCGACAGACATGCCGCAAGAGGAAGCGCAGTCCTTGAAGCGTGTTCTGGACACCTCGGCCGAGCAGCATTCGACCAAGAGGCAAAAAAAGCTGGTTTCAGAGTTGGCTGAGCGGGTGACAGCAAAGCTGGCATTGGTGTCGCGAGAAGCTTTCGCCAAGGATGCCAAGGAACGACTGGCAAGACTACAAAATGAGGACCGCGAGCAACTGAAAAAACTTGAGAGTATGCAGCTACGCGAGCTCAAGGATGCAAGTGCAATGGACCCGGCTGGCGGTTTGGCTGTTTGTGTTATCAGCAAGGCTGAGGTTGAACGGGCCGACGCAATAATCAAAGATCGGGCGCGCACCTTGCACAAGCTCTGTGGCCTGCGGGTTTGTCACTTGACATCGAGCCAGCTGGTTGGCAGGTGCTTGGAATCGAAGTTCGTCATTTTTCTTGCCACTTCTCGTGAGGCCGAGGCAGGTTTGGTATACCATGGCACGGAAACCCATGAGGGGCTTGATTTGGGCGCTTGCGTCAGCCGATTGTTGGGTGGTTACATCGCGGGGCCTACCTGGCTCGATGAGTGTGTTCGTCGTGGCGTCCTGCTGACGCCACTGCTTCGCTGTGCTCAGGCTGTAAAGTGCCCTCGTCAACTGGGTTTTGATGATGGCTTGCCGCAACAGGCCGCTATTCTGAAGCTTCTTTCCGCGATCGAATCCCATTCTTTGGGCTTTCGCCAGTGGGTCATTAGATCGAAGAGAGAGGAGCTGACACTGAGTGAAGTTTATCATTTATTTGGGTGGTATTTTTGGTTCCTGGACCGAGTTACTGTAAGTAAGCCTTAGGCCGTTTTACCCAATGTGGCCTTGCCGTTGCCAAGGTCGAGAAAGGCATCTTGGTGGGTGGTCGCGGATTCTTTCCAAGGTGCTGCCAATGACAAACTGCCTGGGAAAGTGATCACCTACAAGCAGTTCCTGGTACTGATAACCACGCAGCCTGGTTGCATGAAACCCATTTGCATCAAACTTTGCGTCCGTCATGTCAGGAATTGCTCCCCTTACATCTTAGGTGGAGCTGAGTGGATGCAGTGTGAGTGCCGCACGGCGCTGGACCATAGCCCAGGCTTGATAGTGGGCAACAAGATTATTAGAAATCCAAGCTCTTTCTGGGTCTATGGTCCAGGGTGTATTCGAATCGCTGCTGGCGCCTGCAAAAAGATTGTGCTTCTTTTGAGCATCTGTGAGCGCATTGATTGCATTAGTTGCCAGCATTTTCCAACATCAGCCCGCAATGCAATACCGTGTGCTGGCAGGCCGGAGCGCTGTCCGCTGAGTTGTCATTGCCAACGGGAAAAAGACACGAGCGCAAGCCAGGCATTAGCTAAGCCCCATCTCCCACATCCTATTCCTAGAGTTCTGGCAAACAAAAAGGGTACCCTTATCAGGCAAGGCCCACTCAAGCACCAAGACTTGGAGCTCCTCGACAGAGAGGAAGCAAGACACCAGAATGACATAGAAGCGCAGAAACGGATGTCAGGAAAGGAAGAATAAAGAAGGAAGAAGCAACGAAACACAAGCAGAGTAAAGGAAACTGAACAGATGTAGACAGTGATGGTGACCAAAATGCCGCTTGTCTTTATTACATTTACAGCTGTAATGAGTACTATAGTCTCTAGTTTAATTCGTATTACATATTCTAGGCTTGCTGGTTTCATTTTCACTGGTGCTAGTATTGTTGCTATCATTCCTCTTGTTCTTATTCCTTTTATAGTTTTCTGTCTCCCAGTAGCATTCCTGCTATGCTTTTAAATTGGCTGATTGCCATTAATGTATATGCAGTTTTAATCCTCATTATTACTACAATCATGACTATTCCAATTGTTATCATTAGTTCTATTGTTGCAAGTGACATTTTTACAAGTATTACTATCATTTTTAGTGCTTGTATTATTGAACTGCTATAGCTTTGAATACTGTTATTGATACCATGATTATGGGTTTTTGAACGGCTACTATTAATTTTGTCATGTTTTTTCTTATCACATGTCTGTTTTTTATCGAAAGCGTCGCCTTGAGGGCCCCATTTTTTTTCAGATTTCTGCAAATGCGCGTATTCGACGTAGATATGGTAGATTATTTGTACAGTACTCGTGTGGCTGCAAGAAACTATGGTAGAAATATGCATTAGATGAGGCGTGTCTCTGAGAAAAGCAGCATTACCACGAAAGTTTGAGTAGTACCATTGCAGTTATCGTGGATATTCATTTCTATCGATATTGTTACTATTTCTTTGCTTCTATCTCTAGTGTTACTTTTATCACTGCCGTTTTTGTTTTTTCCAAGTACTTTCGATTCCATTTTCCTTGATATCATTATTGATCACCGGCGGCGAAAAACAAACTTTCGACCTGAAATTTCACGAGGCCCTTGCTGGGAGGCCCCTAAGGCTTCCCGGGGCTGGGATGTTCCTGGGGAGGCATCTGGGATGGGAGGCCCCTGACTAATCCGCGAGGGGATCGGGCACGTCTCTGGGAGGCCCGGATGACCTGGAAGGCGCCTGGCAGGGCATGGGAAGGTTTGGGAGGCTTTTGGAGGCCTTGGGCGGCCCTGGGAGGTCTTGAGAGGCGCCTGGAAGGGGGCCTGGGAAGGCAGGCCCCTGAAAAACTTCTGGGAGGCATCTTGTTCATCTCTGCTGTCAGTTAGTATATTCAGTATGGGTGTTGGTTTACAACCAACAATCATTTTTCAGTATTCTTGCTAGTCCTGTCAATATGATTGCTCTCTTCAATATGTTCACGATGCTAGTACTTGTGGTGCTGTTATGACCATTGTTTTTCCAATTGTCAGTATCAGTATTATGGTGCATGAAGCTACGGGTATCATTCTTATTGTGAGTCCATTCCTTTTCTTCAGTTCTCCTAGCGTTATTCATATTCATGTTTTCCGTAGAGAGGTTGTCATCGTATTTTGTAACGGGCAGGGCTGCGCCCCTCCAAAGCCACAAGTCCTGTCAGAAGTCAAGGGAATGCTGCGACATGTTCTCGCCTTCCTCTTGGGCGCGGACATGGAGTGGCTAGGTTTTTCCTCGCTACTTTCAAGGCAAACGAAGGCTTCAAATGCGAAAAGTTGCTGTATCTACCGCCTCTGTATCTGAAGGGTTTCATCTGCGGGTCAAATGCGGCCTCTGCCTCTCAAGCTTTCTGCATTGCAGGTTGCAGTGTCTAAAGAGCTCAAGTTGCTGCAAGGTGCAGTATGAGCAGTATGTATGTCGTTTGAGCAGCTCCACTTCCTGTGAATTCCAGTGTCTGCAACTTGTCAGAGAGGCCAGGTGCTGCATGTCCGGTATCCGCGGCCATTTATTGACGAACTCCAACTGCTGTAATTTGCTATCTGCATTTCTGGTCAATTTTTGATGCCTATCAATTTTCTTTACCCTGATTTTACGTTTCTTGTTCCCCGTCATGCTTGTTGCTTCCCAAGCTTCAAGCCCAAGCAGCCTGACAAATATCGAAGGCCGACAGCGAGCTTGGACTTCCAAAGTCGGCAACAAGCCGGAAGATCGGGTTCAGGCACCTCAAAGTGCTGAAGTCTTCACTTTGTGGGAGTGAACGCCCATCCCCTCTCTGAGGTATTTCGCCTTGGTCACAGGCAACGACACAGATCCCGGTTATGTAGCCCGGGCGTCGACGGAGGTGCCTTGCTGATTGCCTCAGCCAGTTACACACTCAACTTGTATGGAGAGAGCTTTCCAGGAGGGCACGGAGTCCCAGGGAATGTACTTCCGCATCAATGGTGTGGCCTTCTGGTCCAAAGGTGCGGAAAGGGCAAGATCTGTAGCGATGTGTATCTAGTGAATGTAGGGGCCGTCATTAGATTCGAGGGTTCCAACACTACCAAGAACAACAACAGGTGCCAACGTCATACCGATGGAGGACTAGGGGATGCTGACAAGTTTTTATTCAGTGCCTTGACATGGAGCACTGGCCAGACATCCTGTAGAAGAGGTGTCGCCAAACTAGGAGGACAGCTGTATTTGAGGGCTTGCTGTTTCTTGGCAGCATTGACCCCTTTCTTTCTCAGCTTTGTAACTTGCAGTGGCTCGGACTGTTCTTTGCATCCAGGAGCTCGAGGGCAGGATGCTGGGAGAGGCCCACCGTGTCATGGTCCGATCCGCTGCGGATGGAGGCATGTGCCTTGTGCACTACGATAATCAGAGCCATCATCATCATCCTTGCTGCATTGCCACGCATTTGTCTGCCAAGGTATGAACACACTCAGAGTTTGGGGTGGTGGGATCTTCCTCCCGGATGCAACCAGGCTGTAGATGTGTACGGTACGTTGGAGAACTTGCTTGGTAGTTTCAGGGTGTGCAACAAACAGGATTTCTTGTGGGGCTGCTGTGCCTCTTGCCTCTGAGGAGTTCTACGACGCATGTGATGAGCTCGGGCTCGTGGATCCTCAGCTCAGCACATGGGGTTAGGACCGGGTACAGCTGCGCACAGAAGCCATTTGACATGAACCACCTTGAGCTCGAAAAGCAATTCATGAGCCAGACCCAGGTTTTCCACGACATGATGTATGCACAGCTGGGACACGCGCCTGAGAGGAGCTGCTTCAGACGTTCGTGCCACTAGTGCATTTCTGAATCCTGGCAACAAGCCTTCAGAATTACAACGCATGGAGAGGACAGTTGTCCAAGACACCGAGCTTCGACACCAGGAGGGCTTGTGTAGTCATCATGATGCATGGATCCATCGTGCTTGAACTTGTGCCTACGGTCACCCCGGTGTGCAACACTCATGGATCGGTCTCGCGAGCGGTGGATGAGAAGACTCTTATTCGTTGGGTTTACTGCTGATGCAGGTTGAGTGAAACACTTCTGAAGCTTGAAAGCTCAGAATCAGCCTGGACGAAAGTTTTGCAATCTTTTCAGACTTATGCCCTGACGTTGCTCATTGGGCAGGTTCGAAGGTTGTCTTCGCACCCGTCGATTGTGATTTGGGACGGCTGCAATGAGTGCACGGTTCCTCGCTGTTCAAAGCTTGAAGGTCTGACTTCAGCAAGGGGGCTTGGTGTTGTGTTGTCCTTGAAGCCTCTGGATGCGAACACATGTGTGCAAGCTTGCAAATGTCAAAGGTCACCATGGGTAGCCCGACAGAGATCTACGCTACCTTTGTGATGACAGTCATTGCAGAGGAGGCCCCCGAGCGCATTCTGCGCAAAACATGCCTTCCAAACTAGGCTTCTGGCAGCCCTAGCATGATGTCACACCATGTCCCAGATGGTGCGCTGCAAGCCCTGCGCGGGAGGACCTCTCGCGATCGATTTGGCCCTCATGCCCAGCATTCGGCTGGTCCACAGGAGCTCATAGCTGCTGTTGCTGAAGTCTGCTCCTAAGCAAGCCACATGGCAGATGCAAGAGGAGTCCACAAGCTGGACAGCCTTCCCAACGGGAACCCGCTGACCACGCCTGGGACTGGCTTACGGCTGACAGATGTTGATGGTGTTGACAGTCGTCATCCTTGAGTGATAGAGCTTGATGGCGCAGATGCGATAATGTATCCTTAGATTTATTCTGCTTTGGGCCACAACGTCTGGTCTGGTCACGAGGATTCTGAAGATCAGATACATCGAGTCAACTTGAAATGGTGCAGTAGAGCTTCCTATTGTAGCATTTGGATGATGGACTTAGAAGTGGATTGCAGACTGCAACGTCCCACCTGTCCCGTCGCAAACGTAGGTCATGCCCCAGCAGGCTGGATGCTAAGCAACCATAATGCAGGAAAGCAGAGACGATTGAAGTGCACGGCTACTACCAGCATGGCAACGGACCTCAAGCTGCAAGTGTTTTAAGACTATTTATTTCAGGAATCTTTGGTTTCTGTTGAGTTCTTGTTTGGTCTTGATCCTTTGGTCCCCTTGTGCTGCATTTCCTTGGTCATCTTGGCTCCCTGTTTTGCAAACATGTGGGGCGGGTTGTGCCCCCCAACCCCCAGCTACTTTTGAAAAGCAACAACAATGCTTGAGAAGTCTGATCAAAGCTGACCAAGAAATTACATGTTCTAATGTTCCTCTACGTTTGCCCAATCGAGGAAGCCTCACCCGCACACCACCCCTGTTTCTAAAAGCAGTCTACCTGGCTACCAGTGTAATTATTGCTGCTGCTATCACTATCACAATGCTATCACAACTACTCTTGCCGTTGCGATTATGCTGGAGGTTGCGTTTACTAGTACCACTGACTTAGCTTTGTTCAGTTTTTCCTCACATATTGTTTCATATGACACCTACTATGTTTATGTTGAAGTTATGGTTGGCATGAGTGTCATTCTGACAATTCTTGTTCGTGCTCTTTCTGCTCCGAGTACTGTGAGTATTATGATTCATATGAAGTACCATTCCTGTTCAAATTGCTCCGGCCTGGTGCGTACTCACATTTTGACTCGACATCTTGCTGTCACGTGGAATGGACTCACATATATCTGCAGGTGTCGAGATTTCATGTGATCCAGCATGGAGCATGCTCGTGTGGAGTTTTCATAGTTTTGCTCGAGCTCTCGGGTGGAGCATCATCATCCATTATTGCGCAGACGCCTCCTCACAGTCTGGCCAAAAGGTGCGCTTTGGCTTGAAGCTTCCTCGCATTTTGAGGCAAGCACCTACAAAAGAGCAAAAAGTTCCAGAAAGAACTTGTAGCCTGGAAAAGCCGGACAAGCTGTGATGCGAACCCGAAGCAGTTGATATCGTAGGCATAATGGAGGGATTTGAGTTTTTGTGTACATTGCAAACAAATCGCGTAGAAACAGATTCAGGACCCACACTATCACAAGGCATCCCAGGTCTTGCTATGCCATCTGCCTGCCATGCACCAGTCAGAAAAGGTTTCCCGGCCATGAATGGAGAGATCAAGATGTTCCCGTTCAAGGCCAACATCCCCATCAAGGCAGGCTTTCAGGACCGTCCTGTAAGATGAAAGGTTTTCCTCGAGTTTCCCATCAAAGCCACGTAGCCCTGCCCACTTACCCTGGATCAGAACGTACCTCAGTAAGGAAAGACGCTGGCCCTCGGAAAGTCCTGTCCACCATGCTGCAAGATGTCTGATAGTCAGAATTCCCGCCAGGTTTCCACTGAGTCCACGGGCCTGGATCATAGGAACATCTTTGCCTCGGAGTTCGGAGCTGTGGTGATGTCCTCCTTCGACGCATCTGCTAAATTTCAGAGCCGTGTAATCGTTGCCTGACGCCATGCCATGCATGCGAAGCAGATTGTAGCTACTGGGGGCACTCACTTTCATGCGGGTTGGCAGAAGAAGGAGTAGAACAATGAGAGCACGTGGTAGTTGTAGTTATCTTATTCATCATCATTGTAGTTGTTGTCACCATAGCAGCTGCAGGAGTAGGAGGAGGAGAAGGAGGAGGAGGAGGAGTAGTAGTAGTAGTTGTTGTAGTGGTAGTGGTAGTGGTAGTGGTAGTGGTAGTGGTAGTGGTAGTGGTAGTGGTAGTAGTAGTTGTACTGACAGGTGCAATAAGTAGAATATTTAGGGGTTATATGGGAGTTATATAGGGTTAAG